TACGCCTGTGGTGAGTCTATTGGGTCAGAATTCCGCCTCGAATGAGAAGATACAATTGTGCAATCAAGCGAAGGTGGCTGCCGACGGGTTGCTGGCAGACGGCAGGAATAGGTCATCCGAATGGTCCGCTAACAGTGGCGATGGGAAAAGTGGGAAGGTGCAGGGAGCTGTCCAGTCGGGACAGTCAAACTCGCGAAGGGGAGACGAAACGTTGTATAATACGAACCCATTTCGGGGTGCGCCCGTCGAGGGGGAGAGATCCCAAAGTGATCATCGAGTTGGTTCCCCAAATGGTGATCAAGCTCACTCCAAAAATGGCCCCCCCTACCGCCTGCACACAAGTGAGGTCCCAGCGATGAGTTGCCCCAAGGGGGAGAAAAAAAATCGCGAGGGAAAGCACTACACAGTCCTCCTTAACAACATAAAGAGTGCCAAGTTGGCGTACTCGAAGAGTGATCTATTTTCGCAGCTGAAAAAAGAATATATAAGTAAAATATCTTTTGAAAATGACACAGAAAAGATCGAATTTGAGCATGCATTAATTGAGAAAGAAATATTCGAGGGATACACAAAACTGCACAGGATTTTGTACAACCTGAAGAGATTCCAAGTGGACTCGTGTATAGAGTGGTACAATAACTGTAGCGAAACGACGAGGAAGAAATATGTAAAGCTAATTTATTTACTACACTGTATTAATTATTTAATGTATTCGAAGGAGGATAAGGAGAAGGCACTTAGCTGCTTAAGGGACCTCATGATAAACTACAGTGAAAATAAATCGCACATATCGAGACTGAGCACGTTCATTTGCATCGGTGTTGATAACTTTTTCTTTAAACATATGTTTTCCAGTGTCCATTCGAAGGTTTTCAATTTTTTTAAGAGGGCTTTTAATGAGGAGGGGATCCTCATCCGCGTGCCCAGGAAGGAGAAGCGGGAAACACGAAACCGTCAAAATTGTGAAAATTGTCAAAATTGTGAAAATCGTCAAAATTGTCCAAATTGTCCTAATCGCCAGAGGGATGGCCTACCCCACGATGGGAGTGCACATTATCGTGACAATAAAGAAGGGACCAGTCTGGCTAGCCAAATGTCGGAAAAACGGAAGAAAAAAAAAAAAAAAAAAA